ATTCCGCTACTTGTCTTGGACGCGTCGCTCAAAGCCGCGTCCGCCTCGACGCGTTCTCGTGCGCCCCACGTGACCGTTTCGAGTCTGACCGCGCTCCGTCGCGGCCGGGCTGCCACGGTAGATCTCTCCGAACTTCCCGCATCCGCTCCTCGCCCGCCGGGTTGTCGGTACGGACTTGGACAGTGGACACCGTCGGAACTAGTCGTGCCACCGCTTGCTTTCGTGGCGCCGCTGTGTCTCCTTCCGCGTCTGCAGTGGCCTGCCGCCCGCCCGCCGGGAGTCGGGAGTTGGGGGTTCGTGCGAAGCAGGAACTGGAGCGACTGGGTTGCCGGTATATATTATGTCGTAAGCGCGCGAGCCCGTAGCGCTGCAGCTGCGACATGAGGCCTTCAGGAAGCACCGCCGACCGAACGCTTTTGTTTCTCCAAACCGCAGGTCGGCTTCACTTCATCCAGCCCCGTTTGAGTGCACAGTCCGTTACTGCCAGCCCGAAGGAAGGGGGGGACGGATATCGGAGTCAAACGGTATCGAGCCTCGATTGAGCTCTTCCGAGTCAGAGAAAGAGAGGCCGTCAGGCGCTTGCACGAACACGGGTGGGCCTGTTCCGATTTCCAGACCAAACCCTCCCACCGCTTTCGTCCCGTGCGGGGCTGGCTCCAGCGCGGCGGCCGGGGCCGCAGACCGTTCTGGACGCCGCGGTTGCGCCCAGGAGGTCGCGCCGGATCGTCGCCGGGGGAGACGGTGGACGCACGGCCCTGCGGGGTGCGCACGCCACAGCCGAGTCTCACTGCGACGCACGCGAGGCTCCGGAGGCATGTGGCCGCCGTCAACGGGAGATGTGGGGGCGTGTGAGCTCTTGCGGCTCTCCGGACGCCCGGCTCGGGCGGTGCGACCGGGCGGTGAAGGAAACGAGCCGTGTCAGGAGTGGCGGCGTGCGGTAGCGTGCCAGTATAGCAATTGTCTTGCGGAGTGGGAGCCGAAGCTCTGGCGCATCGACGAGGAGTACAAGAAGATGCGGATACGTGGGCGAGGGAGAGGGAAGGCATGGAACGATACCGTACAGGGTGGACGTTCTCTACGTACGGGGGTGCTTCGGGGCCAACGGTATGTCCCAAACATGTCTCCAGGCGGACGCTTCACATTCCAACCTTCTCCGTCCCAGTGACTGCCCGGCCGGCAGCAAACGCGACTGTTAGTTCGATCTGGCGAGAAGCAAGTCAGCTGATGGGCGGGCGCCCAAGCCAGAAGCGTATGACTTTGACACTACCCACCTTGTCCAGTGCGTCGTCCACCCTTTGCGCGAGAAGCTCATCGAAGTACTTGATATCACTCACGGCGCTTCGCAAACACGAAGGACATTTCCAAGCGTCCTGCAGTGCCTCTTGAGATTCCGAAGTCGGAAAAAAGGAGCGCACTGTTTCCCCATACGGACGACGACCGACAGCCTCCGCTAGCGAATTGATGTACTTGCACCACCAGCTCTTTGCGACGGTTGTGGTAGTGGGTCCGTTCGGGAGCGTGTATGTGAGGCTGATGGAGCCGGGGCAACAGGATGAATGCGGGTGCACCCAGACCCAAGATTGGAAAATTTCCACTCCGTTGCCGGCGATGCCTTCGGGAGATACCGCCTTTAAATGATACCCGGAGAGGGGCCACCACCGATCTTGCACGAGAGCCGTCGCCTTGTTGGAACACGCCTCCCGGTAGACCATCAAGTTGTGGAGCGCGATCGCGGGGAGGTTATCGAACTCGGCAGGGGGCTTCTGCCGAACGTGGAATGTCGAGTCCCGGATGAGGAGTTTCGCGGACTCGCGGACGAGGTCCTCGAGACGGCGCTCGTACGCAATCGCGTAGAGGCGCAGAGGGTCCCTCGCCATGAGGACGCGCAAGGACGGGTAGAGATTCGCGATCGCGACCGGCATGTCGTACTTGACCGCGGCGGCGAGGACAGCGTCGGCGTCGTCGAGGGAGGAGAAGGTGGGGCGCTCGACGGGGCAGAAGAGGCGGAAGAGGCCGTCGAGCGTCGTCGCGCTTTCGGTGAGGTCCACGGTTTGGGGCAGGCCGTCGTCGGGGAGGGTGAGCATGTCGCGCATGACAGAAGAAGCTTTGGCGACGATGTTCTTGTAGAGGTTGAAGAGCACCCCATCGGAGGAGCGGAAGATGATGTCGGCGTCGGCATCGTCGAAGGGCGCTCGGGGAGTGGGTTTGGAATCAGAAGCCATGACGAGGGAAGACGTGAAATGCGAGCAGGTTGGGTGCGCCGGTAAACTCGGAAGCGCGGAAGGCTCAGTCTCCTGAGCTAGATATATAGACTACAGCGATAGCTGCTGCGGCAAGCCGACAATGAGACCCGAGGGAAGGGGGATGCGAGCTGCGGTAGAAAAGCATTCTATCAATGGGAAAGAGCGAAGCTCCACCTGCGTTATGGACACGGGGCCTATATGGCACACCCCATCAGCACCACAGTGTACCGCAGCAGAAGTGCGGCAACTCACATGCACACAGCGGAGAGTCTGGTGGCAGGCGCTTCCGAGGGTGTGTATGGAATACAACTCCGTACTCGAATGTACATCAGGGGAATTGGCGAAGATTCTGGGGTAGAGTAGGGTCCGGGCGGACTGTTTGTACTGGGAATTGGCAACCTTCACTGACCAGCTTGGTCCGTCCCAGAAGTCCGTTCTTCGGAAAATGCGACTTTCAGCAGCACCTGCGACAGACAAGAGGAGCGATGTCAGCGCGCAGTAAAGCTTAGAAGTTTGTTACATTACATTCTCCAACGCCTTGTCTACTCGTTGCGCGAGAAGCTCGTTGAAAAGGACGGCATCGCTGGAGGCAGTTTGTCGACAGTGATAGCAGCTCCAGGCACTATGTAACGCTTCTTGGCCTTCAGAGGTTTGGAGGAAAGAGCGCGACGTGTCACCACACGGGCGCTTCAAAAGAGCGGCAGTCAACGACCGCATGTATTTGCACCACCACGCCGTAGTTTTGGCCACTTTGCTGTAGGGTTTATAGGGCGTGCTAATGACGAAAGAAATATCGCCGTCCAGTGAACATCCAGATCCGTGTTCGCGGAGCCCGGTCCAAGTATGGTTTCCAGTGAATATCCAAGTTAGGTCTTCTGCGACCGATTTCGTGGTCGCGGCAATGTCCTCATGGTAGAGAGTCAAGTGATAAATCGCTATGGCCGGAAGAGTATGGAGCTCGCGTGGGGGTGCGACAGGGATATGGCAACGCGGGTCGCGGGCGAGCAGCTTAGCCGTTTCGCGGACTAGGGCCTCCATCCGAAAACCATAGGCCACGGCGTAAACCCTAAGAGGTTCGCTGGGCACGAGAAGCCGCAGGGAGGTATGGAGGTTGTCTACGACAGTAGGCATGTCGTACTTGTGCGCGGCCGAGAGGACAGCACACACGTCGTCCAATGATGCGAATTCTAAGCGTTTGGCGGGGTAGATGAGGCGGAAAAGGGCGTCGAGTGTCTTGGCATCTTCGGCGAGGTCCACAGTCTGCGGCAGACTGGCTTCGGGGAGGGTGAACATGTCGCGCATGACAGAAGAGGCTTTGGCGATGATAAGTTTGTGAAGGTTGAAGAGGTCCCCATCGGAGGAGCGGAAGGTGATGTCGGCGTCGTCGTCGTCGTCGAAGGGCGCACGGGGAGTAGGGTTGGGATCGGGAGCCATGACGAGGTGGAAAGTGACAAAGAAGATACGCAACTGTCGTGCTATGAGCTCGAAGCCGGGTACAGCTGGGTTTCCGGCAAAGAGAAAGGACTTACGAGAGAGATGACAGCCGGAGTCAGGGAAGAAGTTGGAGCAACGGATTGCGGGAGAACGAGCGGGATGCTGCGGTAGAGAGGCCATCGACTCGTGAGAAGGTGATCCAACTCTGATACGATCGTGACGCCCAACAGGACTCAGCACTACGCAGGCTGCCCAAGGTCGATCTACATGTGTGCATGTGGACACGCTTCCAGTTCGATTAGTCGGGGTGACAATCCATCGGTATACATTGCTCCTTCACATCTTCACTTCCCAGAGTCGCTCCTACGACTCACCGGATGATAAGTTCAGTTGAACATGGACAAGGTCACTTCCAAGCAAGTACGAAGAGGCGATTCGCGCTGCTCACCTTGTTGACAGCATTGTCTCTCTGCGCAAGAAGAGAGCTGCATCCGTTAGGCTCCCGTTTCTGGCACAGCCTACACTTTCACGCGCCTTACGGCACGTCTGTGCCCCTTGTCGGTGAAGACGTGTGTGCGCATCGTGTCACACAACGACCGGTCGTGGACGGCGGCGAGCATCGAGTCCATGTATTCCGTCCACGATCCACCTGTCGGCACAGAAGGAGGGCCGTCGACGGTCGGGTCTCCATATTCCAGAACGTTCGCAATGACTCAACATGCGGCGGGCTCTCCACGCCGTTTCTCCTGGAAAGTGCAGGCGACCCACGCTCACGAGTCTTTCATCTGCAAGACGGACGTGGCGGCCTTGCTGTGTTTTCCAAGGATCCACTTCTGGTCCGTAGCGGCGATGGTTGTGACGGAAATGCATTGCCTGCGGTACAAGTGCAGCTCGACGCATCAGGAAAAAACGGCTTGTCTCAGGAGCGCACCCGAGGCTCGAGAGCAGTTCGAGCCCGTCGTGACAAGTCCCCTTGTCTCGAGGCACGAGAGCATGGCGGGGCACCTCGCGGGCGCACGAGAGCTTGGCGGGGCGCCTCGCGGGCGCTCGAGAGCCACAGCCGCCCGCTCGGTGCTGCTCGAGAGACACCCGGTTCACTCGACAAGTGCTCTCGACTTAACAGGAGCAAATGCACGCGAGGACGCCCGAGTACCCACGAGTCGTTCTTGTACACGCTATTAGGGTAGGATTATTTGTTTCCCCCTGTGTCACAACATATGCGAGCGGTGAACAAGAGGATAATATTGGCGATTAGAGCCCAATGATTACTACGATACTGTAAGACAAAAATGCGAGTTGGAAAGGAGACATTACGGATCTAGTCTAGCCGTCAGGCTCGGACTCGCTATCAGTGAGCCCTGTTCGTGCCTCAAGCTGACGAGTAGCCTCATCCATGGCCGCGCTGGAGATGCATGCATTTGTTGTAGTCGGATCAACACCACCACCTGCACGACTGGAGTGAAGCATTGGGACTCAGCGTCGTTAAACTGAGAGGCTCGGAGCAGTGAATATCCACGTACAATGCCTTGTTGTACATGCGTGTCCGGATGTTTTTCCATGTTGACGGGCCAGCTCTCTCGTACGACTTGAGATCCGCGAGGAACGACCGGTAGTGCTTGCCATGTCCAGAGTCGCCACCGCTTTTGAAGGTCTCGCGGACTTGCTTTCCAGTGCTCCATTCGGCGATGTGTCCACGCACCTGAAAGGAATGAGCTCAAAGTCAGAACACACGACGGTAGTAGTTAGTACTAGTAGGGATCTTTGTGGGCACGACCCATGCAGGTCGTGGGTGAGGGTTACGCGGCGAGGGGCCCGGTCCATTTCGCCAGTGTGTCCAGGTTCACGCGCCGTCAACCTCCCTGGGCCAGACGTGTCCAGCGCACCGCGCTTGACACGCCCGAAGCATGTGGCTCGTCACGCTTGCCGCCATGCTCGACACACCCAAAGCGCGCAGCCCGCCATGCTCTTCGTGCCTGCTAACGCGTGCAGCGCGTCACGCCTGCCAACATGTGCAGCACGTCGCGCCTACTGCACCCTGCACAGTACGTGTGTAACTCGCCACGTCGCACGCATGAATCTCGTCGCTCTCGATGCGCCCCCAATATAAGCGTGTGACTCGACCCGTGCCCTCACCCACACTCAGCAGCTATGGGTGAGGGTACGGGTGGGCCTCGGATGTTCCGAGAGTTACCCGTAATGATCCCTACATGACGGTGACAATAGATCTGAAAACTCACCACAGTCATCAGGAACGCGAGGACCTCGTTTGGGATGGGGTTGAAGCGGTCGGGGAAACGAAACCCAAGGCTGGCCTCCGGATTGCCAAAGAAGGTGAGCTGTATCGCATTCTGAATGACCTGGCTTTCTGCAAACCCGCTCTTCTTGTCGGTCCCGGTGTCGTGTGTCTATCACAGCCATTTACAAGGTCAGCTCAATGGTTATCACAATAAATATTACTCGCCTTCCAATGGAAAAGGCTGTCCCGCAGCAATGCGGCACTCCGTGCAGCGTTACGATCGACATCCTTCGGCTTGTCGCTGATGCGAAAGCCATATGCTTGACTCGTGGTTGCACGAAGATCTGAATACACATCTCCGCGAGCATGTGACTTGCGAGCAGAGATCTGCAATGATTGCAAGCCCCGCAAGGGCCGGAGTTAGCTGCGTGCTTGAACATCATGCACTCGAGAAACACTCACCACTCGTCTCATGCGTTCAGATAGCAGGTAACGTAGCAGTGTACCGTCCCGTGCTCGACAAGCTGCCCGCCACGAGTCCTCAATGGCCAAATCAAGGTCACTGTTGCTCGGGAAGGCATTTCGCGTGTAAAGGAACACATACAACTCCACCACCGAATAATCGAGGAGATCTTTGACATCGTTTTCATAGTCACTGGTAGACGGGCGAGCCTTCGGGTTCACCCCGTTGCGGAGGGGGGCAACAGCCGGAACAACCTGTGAAGGTTGAGGAGGAGGTGGGGTGGATTGCTGATGTGAACTGATCCGCTCAGGCCTATGAGTGGAATTAGAGTGCATTTGCCGCCTTCCTGGAGCACGGGAAGAGCGCTCGCGCGACTGAGAGTCCGGGAGAGACCTTGAGGAGGGCCGCGAACTTCGTGGGTGGAGCGATTCGGTGTGTGGCAATGGGGAGGAGGAACGCGGGAGGGTTCGGGATGGCGACTTTGAGAGACCAGAGGGGTGTGATGACTCGGGACGGGAGCGTGATCGTGAAGAACGGGAGCGCGACGTCGAAGGGCGGGAGCGTGATGAAGCCTGACGGGAGCGTGACAAAGGACGGCCCGAGCGTGATGAAGGACGGCCTGAGCGCGACGAAGGACGGCCTGAGCGCGATGAAGCGCGGGAGTGTGACGAAGGGCGAGACTGCAACGAAGGACGTGGTGGCGACGAAGGATGGGAGTGCAACGAAGGGTGTGGCGGCGACGAAGAGCGCGGAGGGGACGTGGCTCGGTCTTGCTCACGAGGCGGAGAACTGCTGCCTTCGCGATGAGCGATGCGCATGGGCTCAGGGGGGCGCTGTGTTGTCTCATGTTTTTCACGGATCTGTATGGTCACCAAGCAGTACCAGCATTAGTTAAATAGCACTGATCCGGAGGATGGTAGTAAACTCGCCTTGGCCTGCAAGCCGTTACCGCGCATGATCACACCATCTTGCTCAATGTCATCTTCGGACTCTGGACCAAGCTCGTCGTCGTCGCCGTCATTAAGGCCTTGGTTAGACTCTTTGTGCTGATTCTTCTCCAGCTGCTTGATCCGGTGCTCGAGCCTCTTCTTTTCTTCTTGTGCTTGGCGCATCTCTGCATGTCTCATAATCAACATTCGGCGCACAATGATACACTGCACTGGCAGTGTGGAAGGGATGTTACTCACCCATTTCGTGCTTCCTAGCTGACGTGGTTCGACTGCGCTTAGTCGACCGAACATTGTCACCGTCCTAAGTGAGGACACGTCAGTATATACAAAGGGTAGTAAGAGCCGCACTGTATATTTGTAAGCTTACATTAGCCTGGCCTGAAGACCCCAAGTTCTCAGGATCGTGGGGTGGAGGGGGATGCAGAGACACGTCGCGCTTTCTGCGAACTGCACCTCGCACCATGGTGGGAAGGAAGTGCGAAGGGACGAGGATGAGACCACGACTCGGCCAGGGCGAGCGGAGTTTCGGGTTTTGCCGTCACGCTGATGCCACTATCGGGGTGTCCTGCACGCAAAACAAACCATTCAGCTCTCTCGTCGACTATCAACCCTATCACTTCCATCTCACCTGAGCCTTCCTCTTCTTCATTCACCATGCCTGGTCTCTATACATGTCATTTCTGTGGGCGAAAGTTTCGTACGGAGCAAGGCACTGTCTCGCATACCAGCCAATCATCCGCGTGCAAAAAAAAGCGCAATGAGCAAGCGAACGGACACCGCACCCATACCGAGCACCTCCATTCCAACGCACCTCAGCATGATCCTAGTATTGAAGACGGCATTCCGGGAGAAGAGTTCCTGCACGACACTGGAAGATCCACAATCCCCGATCCGCCGCTGCAGCAGCCGAACCCCCATCGGGTGACCGTTGAAGAGGTCGAGGACGAGGACGCAGGCGGGATTCCGAAACGTCTGTGGCGTGGAGAGTATCCGAGGTCAAGTCGTGCGGGCGAGCGGATTCGGAAGGCACACACCATGTTCGACACACTCCTCCAGCAGCGGAGGGCTGAGAAGATACCTCCTGAGTCACCTTTCTCGTCCGAGGAGGAGTGGGAGCTTGTGAAGTGGCTCTTCGCCACTGGCATGAGCCAAGAGGATATGGACAAGTTCCTACATCTCCGTCTGGTGAGCACGATGTAACATACATGCAACTCAGTGCGGACTAACCGTGATCCATTCTTGCGATGCAGGTCGAAAAGAAGACGCAGTTGTCCTTCAAGAACAAGTACGAGCTCCTAAAGAAGATGGAGCAGCTCCCGAGGAGCGCGGCGGAGTGGATATGCAATGAATGGGAGGTGATCGGGGACGTACCAGACGAGATGGGGCAGATGAAGACAGAGGATATTGAGCTTTGGCGACGCGATCCCGTTGAGTGCATCCGGGAGCTCATCGGCAACCCCGTCTTCTGCGAGTTCCTCAAATACGCGCCAGAAAGGCTGCTGACGCGGATGGAAAATGGGGAGATCGTGATCGACGAGATGTGGACAGCGGATTGGTGGTGGGAAATGCAGGTTAGTACCGCCGTGAAGTTGACGTCTGAGAGCATACTCTTACCTGTGATGGTAGGGAAACCTCCCACCTGGTGCGACAATCGCCCCCGTTATCCTTGCCTCCGACAAGACCCAGCTCTCCCGTTTCTCCGGTGACAAGCAAGCATGGCCGGTATACTTGACAATCGGGAACATCCCAAAGGCCCTCCGTCGTCAGCCTTCAATGCACGCAACTGTTCTCATCGGCTACATACCTGTTGCCAAGCTCGACTGCTTCAAGAAGTCCACCCGATCTCTCGAAATATGGCGGGTGTTCCACCACTGCATGGCGAAGATCTTGGAACCGTTGAAGGCTGCGGCGCGGGATGGTGTCGAGATGGTGTGCGCGGACGGCTTTGTCAGGCGTGTTCATCCTCTCATCGCCGCCTACATCGCCGACCATCCGGAGCAGTGCCTTGTGTCTTGTTGTCAAGAGAACTTCTGCCCCAAGTGCTCTGTCCACGCGAAGTCGCTTGGCGTACCCGACTATGCTATCATGAAGGATCAGGAATCAGTCTGGGATATCATCAACGACAAAGCTCACGGGCGCAAAACTCCAGAATTCAAGGCACTTGGCTTGCGGCTCGTCGATCCCTTCTGGCGTGGGCACCCCCATTGCGACATCTGCTCCTGTATCACCCCCGACATCTTGCATCAGCTACACAAAGGAGTATTCAAAGATCATACTGTGTCGTGGGCTACAGATGCTCTTGACGGCAAGGAAGACGAGCTTGATCGGCGTTTCAAGGTGATGCCGTCGCATCCAGGCCTGCGTCATTTCAAGAAGGGGATATCCCTGGTGTCGCAGTGGACGGGGACGGAGTTCAAGCACATGGAGCGAGTGTTCTTAGGCGCCATCGCGGGCACCGCGTCCAATCCCGCTGTCCAGCGCGCGTTGCGGGCGGTCCTCGACTTCATCTACTACGCGCATTTCGAAGCTCACACAAATCGCTCCCTCGCTCTCCTCGACGCCGCATGGCGCAGCTTTCACCAGCACAAACAAGTCTTCATCACCCTCGGTATCCGCGAGCACTTCAACATTCCAAAGCTCCATGCCATGCTCCACTACGCCCTCTCCATCCGTCGACTCGGCTCCGCTGACGGCTTCAACACGGAAGCCACGGAACGCCTTCATATCGATACCACCAAAGACGGGTACAACGCCTCAAACAGACGCGACTACATCAAACAGATGGCGGCCTGGCTCAACCGGCAAGAGCTAATCGCTCGCTTCCAGCGCTTCCTCGACTGGGCCGACTCCACGACAACAACGAGGACGAGCAGCGGGGAAGGGGGCACACAGGAGGAGGAGGAGGCATTCAGTGAGGAGGAGGAGGAGGACGGAGACGTTGCGATGCGCGATGCCACCGATGCGCGAACGGAACAATTCAAGTTGAACAGTGAGCCACCCCACTATCTCATCGCGAAGAGACCACCCTTTTCCCGCACCACTGTCCGCGATCTCGTCAACTCTTACGGCTGCATCGACTTCGCTCGGAACCTTGAACAGTTCTTGACGAGCTCGTTCCTATCCCACCCCCTCGTTGTTCCTGCGGCCACAATCAACGCTCAAACGTTCCCGGTGTATCACCGGGCGACAGTCTATCTCGCCCCCCTCCGCCAAGTATCATCCACATATGTGGCAGACACCATTCGTGCACGGCCCAAACAGCAAGCACGACCCTTACGCCGTGCTGTACCAGGTCATTTCGACACGGTCCTTGCATGGGAGCCGGGGGTCGATATTCCGCCAGGGCCGGTGGTTTCGCTCAAGGGTAAGTCTAAACTCGGTCAACAGCTGTACTCGTTGCGCTAATAGTCGCTGGTTTCTCCAGGCTTACGGGTTGCCCGTGTACGAGCCATTTTTAGGCTACCCGCAATATATGGGGGGCGATTCAAGCATCCGCTTGCATATGTTGAGTGGTACACTCCTTTCCACGAACCTGACCCAACAACGGGGATGTTCCAAGTGTCCGTATCCTCACATAACCACCATCGCCGCTCGTCCATCATCCCCATTACGTCTATTGCTCGAAGTTGCCATTTGATACCTGTTTTCGGAAAAGCAGTCAACCGTGCGTGGACCACAGACAACGTACTCGATTTGTGTAAGAGGTTCTTCGTCAATCCCTATCTACGGCATCATGATTTTGTACTATTCCGTTACCTTAATCATGTCTCCTAGCACGCTCTGACCCAAATGTTCATGTGTACTGTGACTGGAGATTCCGATGCTCACGACACCCATTGCGTGCGCACTGCACCTCTCGAGCCCTCTCCCGTCGCGCGCGCACCTCTCGAGCCCTCTCCCATCGCGCGCGCACCTCTCGAGTCCTCTCTCGTCGCGCGCGGATCTCTCGTGCTCTAGCGAGCGTCTCCTCTCGCGCGCGCGACATCCCGATCACCTGCGGGTGCTCGGAGTAGCTCGAGAGGTTTCCCGTGGCGTGCAACTAGCGTCCGAGCAATCTCGAGTTTGCTATCACTATCCCGACAACTCGAGAGGTTTCCCGTGGCGCCCGACCAGTGTCCGAGCAGCCACGAGTTCAACGGCATCCTCTCGAGGGATGCACTTTTTCCTGATGCGGTTCCAATCACAGGCACCAACGAGAGCTCCGCGCGCGGGGGATTGGGGAGGTGGAACTCGAGATCGTCAAGCAAGAGTTCCGCGGCGTCACGGACGACGTCCTCTGGCTGAAGCGCGTACGCGAAGGAGTGGACTCTGAGCGGGTGTTCTGAGTTCTCGCATGAACTTGGGCAGAGCGAGACCTAGGTAAGCCTTGACGGTCTTCACGGCATACTTGACCGATTGATCGCTGCTTGTCTGACGGGAGTATCATCGTCCTTGGATGCGAGGGCTCGAAAGGAAAAAAAAGGAGGCGGTCCGGCGTCTTCGCGTTGGCGACTTCGTTTGGCTCAGGGCGTCTATGAACACTCGCCTCCGTCGCGCACTGGAGGAAGGGCCCAAGTACCGTCGAAGCATTGCACGACGTTCAAGCGACACTTCATTCAGCTGCTGACTCTGCGGGTAAGTGAGCTCGTATACGGTATACCGATCGAACAAAGTCCATCCACCGCGACACTGCCCCGACATGTCTGGACACCGGCGCCTCGAGCCCCATCGCCCTGTGCTCATCGTCTCCCAGTGAGCTCGCCATCCCCTGAGTTTTGCCCGCCTTCCTCATTATTTCACACCAGGCTTTCTGCGTGTACTCGTATACTTGATGCACAAAGCATATGATTAGTAATTAAAATGTAATTATTAGTGAACTCTAGACAGTGGTACTATCAAGTAATAGTGGGGCCGCGGTAGCTCGCCCCAGCCCCAGGATGAGGTCTCCAAGCTGGGGAAACCCAAATGAACGTCCTCAGCGCATATTGGCCATCGATAGTGCGGCCGACGGGGCGGGAGTACGACGTCGGGGGAGGGCGACGGGGAGGGCGAGGCGAGGTGAGGTGGAGAAAAGTGTACTCACCGAGCTAGAAGGGGTTCGCCGGGACTCACGGCGACCCCGTTATCCTCAACTCCGAGCGGAGGACGTCCTTGGCATGTCGTGGGCGTCGACATGCGGACAAGCCGGGTGGGTGAAGCAGGAGGGGTGCGCGGTGGAGGTGCGCATGGGGCGTCCGTGAGCGGACGGCGCACGCGAAGCGGGTGAGGCGGATGAGGAGAGGATCCCAACCAGGGTGGGACCACGCCACCTATGCGACACGGCAGCAACGACGACACAAAACGACCGCGCCGGTAGAGCGAGTGTCTGTTTGGACGTTCTCGTTGTGGTCAGGACGAGGTCGGCGGCACGGGCGGGGCCTGGGGAGGGGATGTCCGAGGTGAGGAGGGGACTGACTGAGACGGGGTGCTGCGGCCTGCTGCAGTACATCTCCGCACCCCGGAGATTCTGATCTGTGTGCTTACTACGTCCGGGAGGATGTCCTCCCGCGTTGTGGATGTCGTGGGCGAAGGAGGACGGGACGGAGGTTGAGGTCGAAGGGGGAGTAGAGGTTGGAAGCGGCGGACACGGAGTGCCCTTGAGGAGTACAATAGAAATCAACGGTTAGGACACGTATCCTCCACGACTGCTGAAGGGCCAGTGAACGGGGCGTAAGGCGTGCAAACGAGATAGAGAAGAGAGAGTGAGAGGAGGATGGGGTGCACCCCAGGCTTGCCGCCCACCGATGCGCGTCTTCCCGGATCACTGGCACCGAATTTCATGGATTGCCTGCGGATGAGCTATGATGACGGATGCTATAACTTATAAGAAGTCTGGCATCGGGGAATTACGAACCACGTCCTTGAAGCCGGTTGAACACTGTCAAAGCACCCATGCTGCACTGTGAACGGTGCGTCAGCGACTTCGTCAGTCCTCGGATCCGAGCTTTCGCTGGAGCTCTCAGCTTTCGAGCGTAGGGCCGCGTATAAAGGCCCGCATGCCACACAACAGTACTCCAGCATACTACACTCAACGTCTTCACTCGCACACATCTCAGCAACTTCAAATCGAGCTTGAACATGTCCACCGTCAAAGTTAACACCAACATCAAGGCCACCGCGGTAATCATCGGTGGAACGGGCCTCATCGGTGCGCAGAACTTCGCCGCTTTGTCGACTCTACTCACTATTCCTCCAGGCATCTGGATCTCGAAGGCCTTTCTCACCGATTTCCGCTCTGCCTTCCCTACCGTACGCATCACGACTCGCGACGTCAACTCCCCTAAGGCCCGCGAGCTTGCCGCACTCGGCGCCGAGCTCTACTCCTTCGATGACACTCTCGAGATCGTCCTGAACGGCGCGGACGTCGTCGTCAACACGCTCCCGACCCACATCCCCGCCGCGGACGGGAAGAAGATCATCGCAGCGGTCGCAGCGAGCGCCGCGAAGGTGTACTTCATGAGCGAGTTCGGCGGGTGAGTGCATCCCTCCCACCCGATCCCCGACAGCCTCGCTCACCCGACGCCTCTCTCTCCGGCCACAGCGACTACGCCCTCAACGACTTCCCCGGGTACGAGCACGCGGAGTGGCAGGTCAAGCGCGAGATCGCCAAGGACACGCACGCCGCCATGCCGGACAAGAAGGTCATCGCGCTCATCGCGGGCCTCTTCCTCGGCGCGTGCTTCAACTCCCCTTACGGTGCGCGCGGGGACCCCCACCCTGCTACGCTCGCTCACGCCCGCCTCTCCACACAGCGCCGCTGATGGGCCTCGACGTCAAGGGCAACGCCTACCGGTCCCTCGGGCCCGCGACGACCCGCTTCACCGCGTCCGCGGAGATCGACGTCGGGCGCGCGGTCGCGCAGCTCGCGGTCCTCGCGGTCGACCCGGCGACCGCCGCGCGCGTGCCGGGCACGGTGCGGCTCGCGCCGAACACGACGTCGCTCGCGGAGCTTGCGGACGCGGCGGCGCGCGTGCGCGGGGTGCCGCGGGGCGCGGTCGAGGAGGAGGACCTCGGCGCGTTCAAGCAGGCGCTGAGCGAGAGGCCGGCGGACTACAACCTCGGCGACTATCTGAGGTGAGTGGGCAGGTGGGGGGTAAGAGGGAGGCCGGGGACGAGGACGCTGATGAGAGGCCGCAGGGTGCTCCTTGGGGAGGGGAAGCTCGACTTCTCGGCGAACAACGACAACGAGCTGATCAACCCGGGGCAGAGCCTCTGGAAGTGGAAGACGGTTGAGGACGAGATCCGTGAAGTCGCGTGAAGGCTTTAGGGCTCTATCCGTATTGTTGGACTCGCTTCTTGGGCGATCCTTTGCTGATTATGTAACTTTACACTCACGAACATGAATGGCGGAGAAACATATGGTCGCGAGAGTCGCCGTGATTCCCCCTTCGGCGACTTCTTCGCAGAGACACAAACACCGCGGATAATAGTGGGCGATCCTCCGTCACTGTGGCTGAAGCGATTTGAGGTCAGGACCATGCGAGCAAGCTTCAATCAGAACCCTGCGGGCTGGACCGCCTCCCAATCCAGCCTCCAGTCAGCCTCACCTGGGACGCTGGACGCTCATCCAAAGACTCAATTGGGCACCTCTCGTCGAAAGTACCCCCCGTGTTTTTTTTCTTTTCCACCATGACTCCCCTTAACATCACTTCCAATCAGGACTCTCTCGTTTCGCTGCCGCTGGCTGGTATCGAGTCTCTGGCACCCACGAGCTCCACCTTTCTCGAAGGCACGCTCACCACCATCGCTCTATGCCTGTTCGTCCACGCCGCGCCCAACATCGTCGAACGATTCTTTTCCCTCGCCAGACCCGGGAGAGGCGGTGAGCTGGACTGGGAGGCAGGTGACAAATCGGGCGTTCCGGGTGAGGAAGACTCGGACGAAGCCAGCGAGGAGACGATCCGGGAGCTGCGGTGCGAGCTGCAGGACGCGCGCGCGCGGACCTCTAAGATGCTCGCGGAGCCCGCGCCGCGATCGGGCCAGGTGCGCAGACTTTCGTTGCGGCTCCCTCTCGTCGCGTCCGACTGACGAAGCCCGTCTTCCGCTGCACTCTTCTGCGCCCGTCATCTAGGAACACCGTCGGAGCACTCGGTCTCCCAACCCACCCTCCCTAGCCCCAGCCCAAGACGCGCCGCACAACCCCCCTCGGCCCGTGTCGCACACCAAGCCCAAGGCTCGCCCTCCCCGCCGCCCGCTCCTCTGCACCTCCCTCCTCGCGCCCCCGAGCACCCCAAAGCACGCCGCGCCCGTCGACTACGAGCCCGTCGGGTACTCCCCGTTCCTCCCCCAGGGGCTCCTGCCCGACGGTCCCGTCGAGCCCGTCGCCTCCTGCACGCTCTTCCCGTCGGAGTTCCGCGCGCACGTCGAGCGCGTGAGTGCGCTCGCGCGGTCCAGTGGGGACGCGCGCCGCGAGAAGCAGGAGGTCATCGCGCAGGCGGCGCGCGAGCTCCAGCGGTCTGCCAGTGCCCCGTAGGAGGGACTGAAGGTGCGTTTCGACGCTACCGGTTGTGCGACGCGCCCACTGACCGGCCGGCGTTCCATTAGTGCGAGGTGTATAAAAGTGAGGCTGGTCCTTTCGAGGGAATCGTGACTACGCTCCACGGGAGCAATCAGATCCGCTTTCTCGTATTGGATAGATTCGTGTTTTCTGGTCATGGACTTTTGGGCACGTTGGAAGGACTTTGGATTTCGGACTTCGTGTTCATGGACTATTTGGACTTGGGACTTCCCGTGTAGATTGCGATACTTAGCAGTGG